GTAAACAAGACCTGACAACAGTGAATACTATATCAGATGTGAGGTATGAGGGAAGAGTGAAACATTGAAGGATCCCCAGAATTGCCCGCGCAGTCAGCTAAATGGCCATGTCATTTATTGGCATGGAGACTTGTAACACCACTGAGATTCGGAGGATTGAGGGCAGGCGACAGGGATCCTGTTTGGAACCTATGAAGTTTAACATAGCGACTGCAATTCCAGCAGAGGGGCCAAGAGGCCAGCAGATACCCAGAGAGAAGAGGCTGAGTTGCCGAGGTCCAGAGGAAACAGCATGGGCAAAGGGGAGCGTAGGAGGAAGGGGTGAAGGCGGCCTGCCTACACTCCACCACAGACAGGTGGGAGAAGAGGGAGAGGACAGAAAGACCACCGCGCTGAGAGGCTCAGAAAGGCAAGGGAAGAGGATGACTGAGGGAGAGGAATGCTGGAGGCCTGAAGAAGGTCAGTGTCAGGCAAGCTTCAAGCAAGCCGCTGGGAGAGCCTCTCTGGTGATTGGTGAGAATTAAATCCTGGTCGGAGAAGGGGTGAGGGAAGAGGGGAAAAGGGGTGGGGTTCTAAGAAGTTTCTTTTGAAGGTTGAGTATCTAGCTAAAGAGAGGAAATATGTGGAAAGTTGACCCAACACACCAGAGCCCTTGCAGGCAAGGGCCAACCAGAGGGAAGAGAAGCAGGGGACCAGTGGGCGTGGTCGGGAGCACTAAAGGTCACAGGCTTCTGATGAAGAATGTGTCAGGCAAACGCAGACGAGTAACTAAAGGTGTCCCTGTGCCTCCCTTCTTGAATAATTCGGCCTAGAAAGCAGTAGTAGGGACAGCCAGTGTGAGCCTGCGTGCAATGGGGCTGGAGGTTGTTAAGTGAGGATCAACAGTGGCGAAGAGTGAGGCGAGGATGCGGAGGGCGCCTAGGTGATGCCCGGATGTTGGGCTCTGTTGGTTGGGGAAAGCGGTGGCAGTAGCAGTGAGAACATGGTTGCATATTGAGGGCATGGGTCCAATAAATAAATGTATCACAGTCAAGTCAGGTTTCTCACTGTCAGAATTATTAATATGGAAAGGGAGAAAACTGAGATGATTCTGGTTTGGAGGAGGAGCTGCAGATATTGATGTAAAACTCCAGTTTGTAAGCACATGTAGATACAGGGATAAACACAGATAGAGCTATGTGGTCATATTTTATGTGCATGTGTCTACCCAAGTATATACTACACACATGTATGTATATATCTACCCATACATGTGTGTCTCGGTTCTGTCACTTAGGTCTGCTGGGAAAACCAGTGCCCCGACAGCAAGCACTCTCAGGCCTTGGCATCTAAACGCCACACTTCCCTACAAAGAACCACAGCTTCTTGAAGAAATGGCTAATCACGGCCTGGGCAACGTCAACACAATATAAAAACCAATCTGAGATTACTTACGAATAAAAATAAATTACAGTAACTCACTGATTAGCATAGGCAGGATCCATATGGATACCATAAGCCTATACAAACACACAAGAAAGCTCCTAGAATTTACAGAATACTATAAGAAAATAATAATGTTAAAAGGAATGCTAGAATTATTAAATCATTATTTGGCAACTATCATCATAAATCAATATCAATGACACTAAAATTAGGGAACCATGTTCCTTGACACACAGCATGGTTCTTAAATTGCCTTCTATATGTAGTCTATCTTCTGCTGTTGTAACAAAACCCCTGAGGGCGGGTAAATTATAAAGGAAAGAGGTTTAGCTAGCTCACAGATTTGGAAGCTGGAAGTCCAAACAGCATGGAGCCAGCTGTGGTGAGAGCGTTGCAGGAGTGGTGGATCGTGTGGTGAAGGGAGACACAGAGAGTACAGAGGGGCAGCCTTTCTCCTCTACAGCGAACCCTAGTACTAACGAGGGTTCCATGAGAGGTACCACATTCCCTCCAAGGGCAGTGACGCTAGTGACCTACAAACCCTCACTAGGCTCCACGTCCCAAAGGCCCTGCTATTTCTCACATCACCATGCTGGGGACAAATGAGTCCTGGAGAGCACACTCGAGCTATAGCCAAACCTGCTCCTGGGCACAGTCCAGCCAACAAACCACAAGAGTGACAGGGCACTTGCAATGCACGAAGCCAATAAATTGCGAACCAAGTGATCAGCGCTACATGCCAGTTGTGGGTCCTCTGGGATCTGCTCAGGTGTGTTCCTGTGACCCTGTAGTCAAGCAAGAAAGCCTGTCATCTGACGGAATATCAGACTCAGGTAAGTGAGACACTGCCTGCAAAGCGACGGCCCTGCAACCTCCAAGGTGTCAATATCATGAAAATGGAGAGAAAAACAAAGCAGACAAGCCCAAATGTCAGTTTAAAATTGGGAGAATTAACATAACAGAGGGTAGATGAGCTAGAGTCTAGCAATGACAGTTAATTTTCTCTCATTTTAATGACAAGTGTCAGTTAAGTAAAGTACTACAACTCCTAAAATATGCTACAGAATACTGCCATGGCCTCAGGAAAGGGAAATATTTCATAACAGAAAGGGCTAGTAAGTGAAATTACTTAAAACTCTGAGATTGTTGTTCATTAAGACACCATGAAGAGAACACGCATGCAAGCTTAACGGAGATGATACTTGTGAAACACAGCCAACAAAAGACACATATCCTGAATATATAAAGAGCATCTACAAGTCAGTAAGGAACATAGCTGAGCATAAAAATGGGCAAGAGACTAAAATGGGCATGTTAGAAAATGTTAAATGTTAGAAATTGTGCTCATTTGATCAGCTGTTTTTTGTAGAAAAGATATCATATATCCCAGGCTGACCTCAAACTGGATACATGTAGCCAAGACTGGCCTTGAACTCCTGATCATCCTACCTTGATGTTCAAGTGCCAGGATTACAGATGTGAGCCATCAAGCCCAGCTACAGGATATAAATAACTGACAAGCATATGAAAAGCACCAGCAATATTGCTCATTAGAAAAATGCAATGAAGTTCACAGAATGTTTCTGCTTATCTTTCAAAATGGCAGGAAGAAGAGGAGAAATATTGAGTATTGACTGAGATATGTAAAAGCAGAAATCAGTACAATCGATTTGGGGAACAATTTGGAACTCTATTTGTCCTTCTCTCTTTTATGTACTTATTCTTCTCTCATACAATACATCCTGACTACAGCTTCCCCTCCCTCCACTCTGTCCAATTCCTCCCCTTTACCTCCCCTCTCCCCAAGACTCACTCCTCCATTTCCCTTCAGAGAAGAGCAGGCCTCCCAGAGGTAGCAACTGAACATGGCATAACAAGATGCAATAAGACCAGGCACAGACCCTCACATCAAGGCTGCATGAGGCAACCCAGTAGGAAGAAAAGGGTCCCAAGAGCAAATGAAAGAGTCAGAGACAGCCCCTGTTCCCACTGTTAGGAGTCCCACAAAAACCCCAAGCTAAACCATCACATTTACACAGAAGACCTAGTGCAGACCCAGGCAGGCTCTGTGACTGTCGCTTCGGTCTCTGTGAGCCTCTATGAGCTCTGCTCTGTTGGTTCTATGGGCAACCTTTCTGGCTCCTGCTATCTTTACCCTTACTCTTTTGAGTGGTCCTCTGAGCTCCACCTAATGTTTAGGTGTGGGTCTCTGCATCTGCTCCCATAAGTTGCTGGATGAAGCCTCCTTGATGGTGATTGGGCTAGACACTAATCATTAGGAGTCATTTCATTGACTTTGGGAGGGGGCAGTTGTGTTTGGTTCCACCCATGTCTCTGGGTTATCCAGTCTTGGGTTCCTGGCCATCCAGGTAGTGTTGGGCATGGGCTCCCTCTCGTGGCTTTGGCCTCATATCAGGCCAGTCATTGGTTGTCCACTCTCATAAGCTCTAAGCCACCATTGCCCCAGCACATATTATAGGCAAGACAGGTTTTAGTAGGAGGTTTGGTGGCTGGGGTGGTGTCCCAGTGCCAGCACTGAAAGCATTTCCTGGTTATAGGAGATGACCACTTCATGTTCTGTATCCCCCATTACTAGGATCCTTACTAGGGTCACCCTCATAGATTCCAGGGAGTTCCCACTGCACTAGGTTTCCACATCACCCTCCAAATCCCCCAATTCCAGTTTCTCTCCCAATACTCTCTCATTCCATTCCTCTCTCCCTCACCTGATCCCTTCTGTTCTTACCCCATCCACCCACAAAATCTATCTGTTCTATTTCCCCTTTCCAGGGAGATGCTGCCTAGAGCCCTCCTTGTTACTTAGCCCCTCTGGGTCTGTGGATTGTAGCATGGTATGTACTCGCTTATAAGCATATATTGGCTGTTAAAACAATACATATGTGAGATATGATCCAGCAATGTCCTGCCTAGGTACATAACTGGACAGGTTCAAGCAGCATGAGTCACAATAACTACCATGTTGAAACAGCTGGCCCGTGAGGAGACCGAGGTATATCATGCCATCACATACATTAATGCAAACGAGTAGGCTATGGCTACACATGTATACACAGATGATGATGCTGAACACAAGCCAAGTGCTGGAGCTAGGGTAGAGCTCCATCTGTACTTACCAACATACTTGAAGATCTGGGCTCCGTCCCTAGCACTGTATAAAACTTAGTGATGCACACGTGTAATTCAGCACTTGGTGTATGGAGGCCAGAGCATCCAAAGTGTATTACCGCTAAAGCCTGAGTTAATTGAAATGCCCCGCCGCAGAGAAAGGCAAACTCTGAAGACTGCTGAGTAGTATATTGGGTGGATGCTTTTGTAGCAAGTCTCATCATCACTAGTGGACAGCAATGGCCTTCTGTGGATGTGTAGTTTCTTGACTGGTGGGGAAGCCATGAGGCTCTAGGTCCTATGGGTGGTTTGTGTGGCTGGTAAATCTGTTTGTTCGTAGAGCCTCACTACTTTCCATTGGAAGACTTGGAATGTCTGGATTTTGAGTGTACGCAAAGTTGATGCCCAGCCTCCCAAATAACTAAGACCTGGACACACATTGCCATGCCTGGCTGGTGTATTTAATTTCTAATAATTCACTGAGCTGCATATTCATAGTTTATGTTTGCTGATAACAAGGACTGGAAATAAATATACAGAAGTTTGAGTTGTTCCTACATCAAGGATTGCCACACTTGATGATGGTTCCACTAAGGCCTGCTCCAAGCCATCTCTGCACAGAACATTTTATGTCCACCATCTCCCATAGCGACGATCCTGTGGTGGTTTGAAAGAAAATGGCCCCCCAAGGGAGTGGCACCATTAGGAGGTGTGGCCTCATCAGAGTAGGTGTGGTCTTGTTGGAAGAAGTGTGTCACTGTGGGGGCAGCCTTTGGGGCCTTTTTTCTCAAGCTTCACTCGGTGTGACAAGTCAGTCAACTTCCTGTTGCCTCTGAGTCAAGATGTAGGACTGTCAGCTCCAGCACCACATCTGCCTGCACGCCACCATGCTCCCTGCCATGATGACAACGGACAGATCCTCTGAAACTGTACAAGAGCCTCCCCAGCTAAAGGTTTTCTTTATAAGAGTTGCTGTGGCCATGGTGTTTCCTCACAGCATTAGAAACCCTAACTAAGACAATCCGATTATTCTCACTTGCAGATAAGAAGACTGGGCCTTTTGAGTTTACATAATTTGCTCGGGGGACTTACAGCTAGGAAACTGCACGCCAGCTCATCTTGTGCTCTGCAGAAGGCTGGCCCCCACCTACTCTCCAAGTTCCCCCTTGCACCAGCCCCAGCCTGACTCTAATCTGGATCATTTGAGTATCCCAATTGCTTAAATGGTAGCCCCACTCCATCTAGTACACATTTGTGGAGTGTAATAAACTTTCTGTGGACAGAACAGATCCTGAATCGAAGCACCGCTCTTCCTCAGCTTCCCCTCTGTCATGGGTGCAGGAGCATGCGTTTCTGCAAACTTCCTGAGGTTTCAAGCGGAGGAAAAGACTGGAGAGTCTCCAGCCTGTGGCTGGTGCTAATTTTGCTCGCTGGGGTCTGTGAGACAAATTCCCTACTTCCTTTTTTTCACTTCCCTTGAGTTCCAAGACATCTGTGTGGCTGCGTGGAGCTCCCTCCCTCCGCCTGCCACCCAGGAAGCCGGAGATGGAGAGGCAGCTGAGCTGTGCGCCCAGAGGGTGTCCCAGGTGCAGCCAGTCATCAGGCCCCAGGTGGGCCACTGGGGTACCGGGCCCAGAGCCCAGCCACGCTAAATAAAGCTCCTAGGACCGTGCGCCTGCTAGGTTCTCAAGGTCTTCTGAGGTGAAAGACAGGAAAGAATGTAGCAGTTGGTCTGAAGCTTACCAGCTCCACTCCAGCAATTCGTTTCTGGTGCATTGGCTTAGAAGCTGGGCTGTTCAATATCTCGGATGCTGAACAGCCGGGCGGGGCTGTGTGAAATATCACCACGGCAGCCTCTGCCACCTGCCTTCACCACACGCCCTTTGCTTATTGCTAAAAGATTAAAAATAAGCAGCAACCACACAAAAAAGGAAATCATATCAAAGTCCCAGAAATCTACACATTTTCCTGTATAATTGTGACCATAATCTAAAATTGTCCCAGCTGCTAATTATTTACACCTAGCCCTCAAACCTCCCCAACCAATGTTACCCTTTGAACTTTCTGTTGTCCTCTGTTCCCGTTGCCTGAGACTGTCAGTCTGTATTTCTCCTTCAGCCCCTAATCCCTCCAGACTTTTAGAACCATCCATTTGGCCCTGACAGCCTTTTAGAGACACGAGAACTTAAGCCAATCCTTTGTTTTATAGACAGCTTGAAGACACATAAATAATGCCCTGTGAGAGTATTACAGGGTACTAAAAAGGTTACAGGCAGTGTATAATATCCTTCAGGGAAATGTCCGTAAATCTGTAGGGGGTGGGGTGAAGGCCAAGCTCTTCCCATTCTTTTCATAATTTCTCACTGCACGGTGTAATAAATACCGCTCATTGTCGCCTCCCTAAACATTAACACCTTCCTTCCTGACAGATTTTGAGTTTGTGAAGGGGACTAAATCTCTCAGTAAGCAACCACCTTTTCCCCCACGCAGGAAAGAACCAAACACCTACCTCCCTTGCCAGCGATTGGCTTAGGAACAGGCATGTGATATTGTGCTAGTCCTTGAGGAGGGAGGGAAGTCTGCCTCCTGTTTCTGGAAAGGTTAAAAAGAAGTGTGAATGGGGCTGGGGTTCTGTTTCTTCTCATGGCCATCAACGTTGCAGTGTGTCTTGGTAGCCATCTTGTGATCTGACAGACTTGAAGACAGAACCTACACATGGAAGGCGACAGGGACAAAAGATGGGGACCACTTGCTGCTTCCTGATGTTGGACTGCAGTTAATAAGGCTTACCCGGGACTTCCTAGCATGTGCAAAGCCCTGGATTTGTTTCCCTTCCACTGGAAAAAAATATTAAGAACACATGATAGCCAAAAAGTAGCAACAGTTCAAATCCTATCTGCTAATAAATGAATAAACAAAATGTGGCATATTTTACAGTTTACATATTTACATATTTTTACAGATTAGTGAAAAGGAGTGGAACTCTGTTTTATGTTACAATGTGGATGGATCTTGAAAACATTTCACTAGGTGTGGGAAGCCCATCCCAAAAGGCCATGAGTCATAAGAGTCATATTGTCCCTTTCATTTCCTGCAAAATGTCAGAATAGGCAAAACCACGGGAACAAAATGGACTGGTGCTTGCTAGGTGGGATGGAGAATGACTGCCGGAGGGCACAGGGTTTCCTAACCATCACATCAGGGGTGATGGTGTGACCTTAGAGGAGACCCATTACTCCACAAACCTGGTATGCCTCTTCCAGACTCAGCTCTCCAGAAGTGTCTATGCTATTTCCCCAGCCAGCCCCAGCCAGCCCCAGCCAGCCCCAGCCTGTCCCAGCCTGTCCCAGCCTGTCCCAGCCAGCCCCAGCCTGTCCCAGCCTGTCCCAGCCTGTCCCAGCCTGCCCCAGCCAGCCCCAGCCTGCCCCAGCCTGCCCCAGCCAGCCCAAGCCAGCCCCAGACAGCCTGAGCATCTTTTCTCTGGAGCTTTCTGATTGTCCATGCGTCTGCCCCAGCCCAGTCCTGGGTGGCTTTTCTTCATAGTATGTGTCCTGATGATGCCTGTCATCTCTACTCTGACTCATCATCCCTGGGATGGATCTCAGTTAATCGTCTTGTTCTCAGAAGTTCTGTGAGTGCCTCCCAGGAGACTGCCAGCAGACATCCAATTGTTTTGAAATTGAAGGTCTGGCTAAAGCCACAGGTGTGTGCTCTTGATAAGCCAAGCAATGGACTCCAATGAGCATGGCCTTCCTACAGGCCTGTCTGCATCCACTTTGCTGTGGAATATGTTCCCCTTTTAAAAAGATTTGCTTTCAGTTGTGCATGGGGTGGGGATGTCTGCGGGTATGTGCGGAGTATGGGTACCCTCAGTGTCCAGAAGAGTGGGATATCAGACCCCCCAGAGTTGGGGTTACAGGTGGCTGTAAGCCGCCAGACTGAGTGGGTACTAAGAACCAAACTCACCTCTGTAAGAGCCGTGTGCACTCTTAATCACTGAGCCACGTCCCCAGCCCCTACTAGGGCTTCCTAGCCCCAGCCCGAGTCCACCTGTGCGCTTCCCTTGGCCAGCAGAGCTCTCGCGCACCCGCGGTGTCTCTGCTGCCTCCTTGATTGACCTTGCTCTGGTCTGGGCTACGAACCTCAGCCTCCACAGCTGCCGGCTTTCTCTCCTAACACCGGTGTTGCCCACACCTTCCAAATTAGTATCATCTGTGAGTTTCAGCGCTGGATGTTTAGCTCCGTGCCTCCCTGCTCATTAACGGGTAGAAGTGCAAGACACTTGCCACCATAGCAGGCAAAACAGAGCCCGGCTGCCAGGAGCTGGGGGGGCGGGGGAAGGGGCGGAGGAGCTGGGCGGCACGATGCACCCCATGCCAAGAGCAGCAGGCTTCTGCTGAGACAGGGGTGCTCCAACTATACAGGAAGAAAGTCTCAGCGTGCTTCTGAAGCGGGCTGGCCCTTTGGGTGGTCTGGGTTTTCCTCTTGGGCTGGGTGGCTCTCTCCTGGCCCGAGCCTGGGGCTCACCATTTATACCCACACCTGTCTCATCGTCTTCCGGGGCTACAGCAATCCCCCCCCCGCCAGCTTCAAGCTTTCCCGTCTTCGGTGGCTTCACGATGCCCTGGAGTTTCTGACGTTGTCTAGCAACCACTTGCATCTTAATGCAGTTCTTTATCAGTTTATTTCACTGTTATGAACACAGGCTTAGCAGGATGTTAAAAAAAAAAAAGAAGAAGCTCCAGTGTCTGAGAGAAAAGTATACTGAAATAAAAAAAAAGGTGGCCTACGTGAGACCATCAATATTACAAAGCTAGTAGCTTCCAGACAAAGCAAACTTGGTTTGATGCTGTCCTCTTCCATTCTAAAACGGGGTCCTACCAATTTCAGTACTATTTCTACTTTAAACTGCTTTATTGATGTACAATCCATATTCCACACTGCTGGAAGCCCACATTTGATGAAGTTCGAAGGTATTTAAGTACGTATTTCAGCCTCTTTCACTATGTTCACAGGAATTCCCACTATCACTACAGCAGGGCATCATTTTTAATCAGTGTGCAATGGTACAGGTCTCTTTATGGACTTTTATGCATACAATCTAAGTTTAGGACATCTTATCACCCCAGCCAGAAACCCTCTGGTCATTAACCATCTGGTTCCATTTTCGCCAAGTCCTCAATCCCTGGAAAGCATGAGTTTTACTTTGGCTCTTGCCTTTTCTGAAAAGTTCATGTTCATGGATCCGTGTGGTCTTTCTGTGACTTCTTTCCCAATGTGATGTTCTCAAGGTCATTCTTGCTGTAGTATCTTCAGCTCCTTTCTATTGCCAAATGTTCCACTGAATGGATATACCATGTTTTGTTGATGGATATCTGGGTGGTTTCAGTCTTTTGGCTCTTAATCATAATATTAATATGAACATTTGCATGCAAGTCTTCAAAATGTTTATTTCCTTTAAAAATTTCATATTTTCTAAATTTTATGCATATAAGTGTTTTGTCTGAATATGTGTGTGTGTGTGTGTGTGTGTGTGTGTGTGTCCAATGTCTATGAAGGCCAGAAGAGGGTGTTGGATCCCATGGAACTGGAGTTACAGATGGGTGAGTTCTGGTAACCAAACCCAGGTCTTCTGCAAGAGCTCCTAACTGCGGATATCTAGCCCTCGAGCACAAGCTGTTTGTGTGGTTTTACTTTTCATTTCTCTTGTGAGTAAATTCTTAGGTCCTTATAGTTGTTAGGGCTGCCAAGTAGTTTTCCAAAGTGATTGTACTATTTTACATTCTACCTGCAGGTCATTGAGTTGAAGTTTTTCTGCAGGATTATCAATATTCACTAACCTTCACTTGCTTATGACCACCTTTGGTATGGAGTGCTGTTTTTGGTTACATTCCCCTGATTACTAGTTGTTATAATGAGTGTCTTTTTGTGTATTTATTGGACAGTTGTATGCCTTCTTTGGAGAAATCTATTCAGATCTTTTGTCCACTTTAAAAAATGAGTGCTTACAATATAGTTCTTTATATATATGCATATATATATACACACTAGAAACAAATCCCTTATCATATATGATCTGCACATTTTTCTCCCATTCTGTGTGCTGCCTTTGTGCATCCTGTGGTACCATTTGCTGGTCAAACATTCTTAGCATTTATAAATCCAACTGTTTTTTTCTTCTTGTTTATGGTTTTAATGTTGTATGAGAGTATTGCCTCAGTCAATGGTTCAAAGATTTAGAACTATATTTTCTTATAAGAGTTCGAGACTTCGTATTTACTGTTGTGACCTTTTTGAATATGTGGAATGAAGAAGGGTTCAAATCTTGATTTTATATACGACATCTTTTGAGAATTACTCAGACCCCTGTCAGGCTACAACCAATGTTCTGTCCACACATCCAGTTCCTAGTCCATCTTAGAGGGAACAAGTCATGCTTGAGATATTGTTCTAGAAGATCTGAGAGGGGCATGAAACCCAGAACCAACAGGCCCAAGAGGCCAGCTTTGCACTGGACTGGCAGCATCTGTTTGGTAGCTGTCCCTTTCCCTTTTGGCTGGCAAATTGGGACACCAATACACTGGGGGACACCTTGGCTTTTTAGCAGATACTGAGTGTGGAGTTCCCCTGTATGTCATTGTCCTCAGGAGCACGCTGCTGGAACAGACAGCTAAGTCATGGTGCTTCTCCAGTGGTGAATGCCGTCTTGTATTTTTGTTGTATGTGAGTGGTGTGTGTGCATGTGTGTGTGTGTGTGTGTGTGTGTGTGTGTGTGTGTGTGTGCTGTGTGTGTGTGGTGTGTGTGTTTTAACCTGGGTCCCTCATTCTCCGGTGTGTTGTCTAGCACTGATTGATTCACATGCCAAGGGGTTACCAGCATCCTCCAGTTCTGCTGGCTCTGGGGAGGGTTTGGAGCAGTCAGGGGAGAATGAAGGAGGGTGTTTATAGGAGAGGATGGAAGATGGTAAGTGGATCTTTGTTGTGGTGTCTGCGCCATGAACAAGTCCGAGGTATTCGGGAAATGAAAGACAAGATGTCCGGCTGTTTGTGCTAAGAGAATGCGTCTGCCGCCTTTATTGCCAGGAGAGAGAGAGAGAGAGAGAGAGAGAGAGAGAGAGAGAGAGAGAGAGAGAGAGAGAGAGAGAGAGAGAGAGAGAGAGGCCAGCTTCTGTGTGTTTGCCTGTGTGTACCATAAGGAGTGAGCAGTCTTAGATACAGACTTACAGCACAGTGGAGAAATCCCAGGTATAAGAGCTCGTGTTTTCCTCGTGCTAGATATTGATGTCAGGTGGGCAAGGTCGGAGACGTAAGCCAGGACTAGCGAACGGGATGCACCTGTGGCTATCAGCTGACAAGCAATGCACAGAGATCCGTGGGGGCTGGGACCCAACACTTTGTAAAGTAGAGGTTGAAGAAGCCACTGCTGGTCCTGCAATGCTCTTCCTCGACTCAGCGTCTGGAAGACAATGGGGCTGGGCTGCATGCACTTGTGCCCTGGCCTCCGTGTGTGTGTGTGTGTGTGTGTGTGAGAGAGAGAGAGAGAGAGAGAGAGAGAGAGAGAGAGAGAGAGAGAGAGAGAGAGAGAGAGAGAGAGAGAGAGAGAGGGGAGAGGCAGGTATGTGATGTGTTTGTCATCCTTCTCATTGCCTCTGCCAAGTCCTTCAGGGAGCATCCACCAGCATCACCAATGACCTGATTACACCAGCTGTGAGTAACCCAATCCATATCATTTACTGGCATTTGAGTTAATCAAACTTTCGGGCTTCGACTTAAAAGAGAACCATGAGGGTATCTCAAGGATCCTTACTGTGTTGGGAGTGGGCAAAGGAAGAGAGACTGCGTCTGTTTTGCATGTTGTTCAAATTCGTGTTGGCCTTTCCATTTCAACAAACCCCAGCCAGGCCCCCCACTCTAGGAGGGAATCTTACGAAGGCCCCTGAACTTGAACCTCTGCCCCAATCATGGTGCTATCCATGCATTCCAATCTAAACTTGAACATGGAGTAATCATAAGGGGCCACAAACTATTCTGGAGAATGAACTGCCACCAAACCTCATTCACCAGGGTAAATGAGGGATTGGAAATAGACCCTGACAGCTTCCTATTCCTTAGTCTTTCTATGATACTCACTGGCTCTGGTTTCTCCCTCACCAGGTGTTGGCATCTGCCTTCTCAGATCTGCACTCAGTGAGTCTGTCAGTAAAGCCAGGTACTGGGGTGTACTTGTGATCCAGCATTTACTAGCTCTGTGAAATTGGGTGAGCTACTTATCTGCTCCTGCCTTAGTTTCCCCATGCATAGCACGAGTCTGTCTGTGAGGCCTGAGTTGATTAGAAAGTTCTGTAGATCGTGTCTGTAGACGCACGCACATCTGTCTCTATTGCTTCCTGTTTCTGACTGGCCTTGTCTACACCGGAGGCATCACTGGTAGCACCAAGTCAAGCTCCCCCCCCTGCTTTCTCTCCCCTTGTGAGCCCCAGCTTCTAAATCCAGGGCTGCTCCTGATCTTGCCCCCCTCTTCTGGTCTCTGTTCTCCTTCTTGGCTCTCCATTCATAGAAAGACATAAAGGTTTGATTGTGGCCTTGGTGCTTCCCCAGCGGGAAGACCAAATCCTTCCCCAAAATAGATTTCCATCCTACAGATTTCTCCCTAGTCGCCCTTGTATTATACCACACTGTATACAGTCACTATAGTGGACTTTGCAGCAAGCTTTTCCATGCCCTGTCTCCTCTGTCCCTCCATCTTCCTTATTTGTTCTTTTAAAATCTTAGCCTTGGGCTTGTAGATGATTTAAGATCACCTGTTTTGTGTTAGTAAATGATATTTTGGGTTCTTTTTGTAAACACATAAAGTAAGAGATAAAAGTAATCAGCGTTTTGTTGGTTTAGTATATTATAAGGAAAAATGTATATTTGCACATGAACACTAAGCAATTTAATCAACTTCTATAATAGAGAATTTTAGTGACAGGTTTTGGAGTCAAACATAATTAAGACAATGATTGTGGTTTTAATTCTTTTTGCTTCAGTGATTCATTATTTCTGGCATCAGGAGTAAGTATCT